TTCATCATTTCAATAAACTCTCATTGAAAGAGATTAAAATACATTATTTTTAAAGCATAAATTAAAGTGTTTTTTGTCATTTTCTATAATATTTTTTAAAACTACGTAGTTATTTTGAAATTTTTCTCTTAATATTTATGAGATAAGACATATAGGCACTATTATTATAAAATTTATTTATAAACATTTATAAGCTACTCTTATGATTTAGTTGTACAACTCCCTAAATTTAAATACTCTAAATTTAAAATTAAAAATTGTATATAAGTTCCAACTTAAAAAAAAACTAAGGTTTTAATTTTAACTTATATTATTTTATATAATTAAAATTCAATTTAAAATTTAAAATTTTATTTTATTAATATTGATATTTAAATTTAAAAATTGATTAAATTTTTAAATTTTAAATTAAAATTTTAATTTTTAAATATATGTTAAGACTAATTCTTTTGAGAATTGAGATTAACATACACTAACCTCATTTAAAATTAAGATAAATATCATATTTAATCTCCAACCTTTATTCCAAAGCAAAATATTATCTCAACCTTTCATTTAAATCATAAATAATCCTAATCTTTTCAAAATCACTAAATATAATCTTACCTGAATAGCTACCATTAAGTCCCTAACGGAAATTTTAAATCGAATTTTGTGGAATCCACGGTAATCTTTAAATGAAAAAACAGTGAAGACTAATTTTTTTATTAAAATAGTTAGATCCCTGACCCTCCCCTTATATATATATATATATATATATATATATATTTTGTCATTTTGACAACTCCAAATTTCTTTCTTTTTTTTTTTTTTTCTGCATTAACAGTTTTTGGTTCAGTCCTATTTATTTTGTCAACTATTACTTGCATAATTTAATAATTTAATAAATTTTACAACCCAATTTTTTTAATTTTAACTTATTTTATCATCTAAATTACGGCTTTATAACATATTTTAAAAATAAAAAAATAAAAATTCATCCGAAATTATAAGGTTGCAATATGACACTAGGCAAACAACCTTCTATAAAGTACCAAGAAAGCAATTTACCACGCATTGTTCAATAATATAATTTATGCAATCAACTCCCATATGAAACATAACAGGAGCATTAACAGAAACCAATTTCCTATGTATTATTCAATAAAAGCCTTCATTGAGGACGCATTGTTGGATAACGATCGCCGGTAGGAAGGGTTTCTTTGAAAAATCTTAACTCAAAATCAGCCAATTTAATTTATTTCGGTGTGAAATTTAGCAAAAAAAAGAAAAAATCTGGGGCAATAGGATATATATAGGAAAATGATTTTTGTACAATTTTTTTAATTATTTTTTTATATAATTTAATGTATCATTAAAATGATTAATTTTTTAAATTTATTTAAAAAATACATCTACTCATTTAATAATATATAAAAATTATATTAAAAAATAATATAAAAAAATTATTCTATAACACCACCCAATATGTATATATATATTTTGTAAACTAGATAACGACCCTGTAGCACCACCGCCACATATATAAATATATATATATATATATATATATATTGTAAACTAGGTAACGAAAAAGTTAAAAGGAGAAAAAAATATGATAAAGATATTAACGGTAGGGACTAAGATAATATTAAATTTGGTAATTTTAAATGAATTTTTTAATTAGTGTTTTAAGGTCATATATTGAATTTTTTTTATTATAAATACAAATAAAAAATATAAAAAATTAAGTTTATATCAATTTCTTTTATAATTTTTAAGTAAAGAGGATATTGCACACTTGTCTTAAAATATATTTATATTATATTTTAATAAATAAATTAAATACAAATAAAAAATATATTAAATTAAGTTTATATCAATTTCTTTTATAATTTTTAAGTAAAGAGGATATTGCACACTTGTCTTGCTTGGTTTCCAACTCAACTTACTTATGATATGATTTCTTAAAACCTTTAAGTAATTTAAATCTTTTTTACTTACATAATTAAAAAACAAATGTCATATTAAAACGATTTTGTGGTCTAATGGTTACTAACCCCCTGTAAAAGCTTTCTAATGTTAACTTAAGACGTGAAATTTGAGGTAAAAAGAAAAAAAAAAGAGAAAAGAAACAAACAAATGTCATCATGCATGCACTAAATGGAAACGAAAATAGGTGACCTGAGCACATCATCCTTGAACTTTAGAATTTCTCTCAGCATATTCCAAAAGTATGG